CGCCCTGCCTGGGGCACTGTCATCACAGTACACCTCGGGGTGAGGCCTGCTGCTCACCAGGGCTTCCGCCTGGAGCAAGAACTACAGTCAGTGCAGACCTGTGCCTCTCCCTCCTTAGGGGCCTGTGCTCCTCGCCCCCCTCACCTGAGATGCCTTCCATCCTCTCCTCACTCATCCTGTCATGCCCATGCCCCGTAGAAAGTGCCCTGTCAGCGTGGATAGCTCTGTGGTCCCGGCTCCCGGAAGCCTCTCTCTACCCACAGCCACGGGGCCTGTCCTGTGTTCTTGTGGCCCATCACCCCAGGGTTGCTGTGTGTGTTCCCTTGGTCCCTGCTGTCCTGGAGCCCTTGTTCATCTCTGGCTGGACTGAGACCGTGGGTTCTTTTTATTTTATTTATTTTTTCTTTTTTTTTTAAATAGACTCCACACCCATTGTGGAGCCCAGTGCAGGACCCGAACCCACAACCCTGAGATCAAGACCTGAGCCGAAATCAAGAGTCTGACACTTAACCGACTGCGTCACCCAGGTGCCTCGAAAGTATGGGTTCTTAATGGAGGATATTGAGCCACAGTGATAGGGGCCACTCCTGGGGCCTTCCTGTCCCACAGCTCTGGGACATTTGGTGGCCTAACACAGGGCTTCTTCCACCGGTTACAAACCCCTTGTCTCAGCCAGCTGGGTAGCGGTGCCACTCAGTGCCACTGGGGGATGCTTGCAGTGATAGTGAGTGATTGCTGATCATGTGTCTCCCATGCCCAAATCACCCTCCCAGGGTGCCTGGGGACTCTGCTGCTCAGACCCCAGTGTGGTCTCCTCCTTGGATGCCGAGGGCCTTTTCTTTGGAAGTCTCCTCTCCAGTGTCCATGCCTTCCCTGCCTCCCCACCCTCCTACCCACCGAGAGGCACATTCCCAGAGCCCAGGACTCTCCCCAGGACAGAGTGTGCATGGGAGGGCAGCACACACCAGGCCTTTGCTGTGAGCCCGTGGATTTGATTGGACCTTCCTTTTCTGGATCAGTGGCTTCTGACTTTATTTTGCTTTTGCATGTTGTAACCCGCTCTTGGGCACCAGCCAGGTGTGTCAGCCATACCTGCAGGAAGTACCTGGGATTGAGTTCCTCGTGCACATCCTGCCAAGACCCGTGGGTCCCACCCCATGACTCCTGTCCATCCTCGCCTGAGCAAGTGGCCCCTGGCCTGAGACACTGGCCCAGCCTGCCCACACAGACCCAAGGGAGGGCCCAGCTCTGAGCTGCTGCTCCGTGGGTTGTGCCTTATTCCCTCTACCCCCCAAGCCACCATGCCTTTCCCACTTCCTCTTGCACACCAGATTATCTGATTCTTCCTAATTTTGTGGTAGTGCTGGGCAAAAATGATACCTTCCTCTCGTTGTTTTGCTGATGACTTCTCATGTGTTTCAGCCACTTGCAGCTATCTTTTCAGTCTGTGCTGTGTTTATTGCCATTTCCTGTTGGTTGGTCTGTCTTTTAACAGGGCTTTCTCTAGCACAGGTTGACCCTGGTTCTCTCTCTGAGTGGTGTCTGCTGGCTGAGAGGGTGAGGGTGAGGGTGGCATCGTGGCATGCTCATTCCTTCTCCCTGGTGTGACCCACCATGCTCCTCATGGAGCAAGATCCCCCCTCTTGCAGTGAGCTTTGGCCTCAGTTGGCGGCTGGAAGTGGTGCTTGCTTCAAGGCTCTGCTCTGGTGAATTAAATATGTGAAGTTGGCACCCAGCGGCCTTTTGTCATTTCCTTGAGCATGACTGTGGACCCAGCTGGCTGGTGACTTTGAAGCACTCAGGCCATGTTGTCAGGCGCTTTTCCAGGGTCTCAGGTTTGCTTCACGTTATCTCAGTGACGTATTAATGAAAACACTAAAGTGGCATTTGTGAATTGGAAAATACTACTAAATTCTTTGTGGCCCCTGATGGTTCCCAAAGTCCGTTCATACACATGTCATGTTCAAACCCACAACTGCTGACTCTTGGAAGCAGGGACAGTCAGTCAGGGCCACCGTGCTGGGCCATGTGATGTGTTTTCTGTCCCTGGGGCAGAGCAAAGGCACACCGGGAGGTCCGGGCACCTGTGCCATGCTGACCTCTGCAGGGACAAGGGTGTGCCGTTTGCTCTGACCACACAGCTGCTTCCTTGAAGTCCATGGTTCCTCCTCTGTCCCTCCATCCCTTCCTCCTGCAAGGACTTTTCCCATTTCTGCTTTTGTCAGAGGAGGTTGTTGGAGGAGGAAGGTGCCAACAGTCCTGCTTGGAGAAAAACTACATTTGGTGTGCAGGATTTCAGATTTCATGACTGGAGGGTTGGTGGGGCCGCTGTGAAAGGAATCCACGACAGACATCCACGTGGTGAGTTCTCGGCATCACCTGAGGGGGTTCACTCAGATGTCGAACATGGACCAGACTCACTGTGGTATCTACCACATACGTGACAGATGTGGGAATGTAAGCATGGCTGGTAGCATGTTTTACTTAAATGAGTACTTACTATTATTAATTGCTTGTTATTACTTTGCTGAATAGTGTTTGAAGTCGATGCAGTTTCAGGAAAGTTTCTGTGGTTCTGATAGTTCTCTTGGCTTGGGGGCAGTGGCACTCTCTTTGTCAGTCAGGGCCTGTCCCATCGGCTGTCCCTGGTGGGGCCTTCTGGTACACCCAGAGAGAATTGATGCAGTGAGGTCACGTGCATGTTACTTCTGCATTGCCTCTCAAGGTTGAGGGTGTAAACTTGCCAGCTCCTGACTGCAGCCCTTGAAAGTCAAGAATGGGATCATTCCCATTTCACAGATGAGAAGACTGATTAGTGCAGGCATGACATCCATCATCACCCAAGGTCACATGGCCAGTTAAGGGGTGGTCTCCCTGACCCTGGTGGCCTTGCCCCCTTGCTTGTGTCAGGGTTGTTTTTTGTTTGTTTTTTCTTCCCCAAAGAATGTTGCAGTGCTTTATTTTACAGCACTCAAAAACTTGGAAATGGGAGCTGGAGGTCATGTGTGTGGCAGAGCTGGTTTGTGCTGTTCCATACCTTTTTTCAGTGGCCTAGTGAGTTAGATCACCAGCTCTGTGAGACCAAGCCAGAGAAGTTAAGTATTTTACTTAGGTCACACAGCTTTTATTATTTTACTTACTTACTTACTTACTTACTTACTTACTTACTTACTTACTTACTTACTT